CACAAACGGCGAAACGCTCACTCACACACACACACACACGTACACACAAACACACACACACTCAAAAAGTGTCACAAGTTGTCACAAGAAATATACAGTCGAACCTGCCCTGACTGCCACCTCTATAAGACAGCCACCTGTACAAACGGCCACTTTCCATTTCCCCCCTTGCGCTTTTTCTGTATAATTTAACTGTGTAAAACGGGTACCTGTCCAACGCGGCCGCGGCCACCATATTTTAACACACAACCCCTATCATACTAAGCAATAACACCTGTCTTAGACGGCCACCTTAGTGACTCCATTACGTTTTGTCATAAATTATGCATTGGCCCCTGGCGTTGTGGACGAGCCGTCATAATTCAATCACCTGTCGTTGTTGTTCGGTAGTCTCTCCAACCGATCATGTTGCATAGGCCCCTCCCATTGTGGACCAATAGCTACCAATTTTCAGCTGCTGGTGAGGTAAGCGTGTGATCCCTCATAACCCATAAGCCCCGCCCAGAACGCATACACAAATAAAACCGTAAGTGAGATGAGTGGTCACTGTTTACTCAGTCTGTAACAAAGTAACAATGGACGTCAACATGAACGAGTGACAGAAGCGTCGCTCGTTCTCCGAGTGGTGGCGACCCATGTGTTTGTTTTAACATGGCACTCGGTCTTCCTTGTCTGATACATTTAGTTTTATTGTCACTCTTGTGCAAAATCAGCGACAAAATAAAAATTACAAACGAAATACAAACCAACAACAACAACACCAACAAAGACAACATAATGGGGATACTTTCGATTGGGACCTCAGATGGGAATGGTTTGTTTTCTTTATCTAGATCAGTCCTGCCTAAGACGGCCACCTGTCTTATACGGCCACTTTTCTCCTTGACAATGGGTGGCCGTCTTACACAGGTTTGACTGTACAGGCACATTATAGGCCTAGATCTACACTATGACCTAGATCTCTATGTGGACGAACGCAATAAATTAATTTTAATAAATAAAATTTTAATTTATTCTAGATCTAGATCTAGATCTAGACTAGATTTCTAGATCTTATAGATCTATCTATTCTAGATCTAGATCTAGATCTAGAATCTAGATCTAGACACGACACATTAACTTACGGTATTTTTTTACTTTCCCTCCCGTCTCACACTCAGCTACCAGTTGTCTATTTTCTACTAAATATTGATGCGTTGAACACGAATATCAACTTCATTTCCGTCGCAAATTAATAGTTTTTGAAATATTTGATTGTTTTTAACCGAGATAGACATGCTTTGACTTTTTTGGACCAATCGGGGGGGTTTTACCCATAATTTGATATTTTAGTTAGATTCCAAATTGTCTTGAAAATAATTGATTTGCGACAGTTTTAGTGGCTTTATGTGTGATCTGCAGCAAACAGTACTGCAGTTTGACCCCTGAAACAGTGCATCTGTGTGCGGGAGTGAAAGTAAAAATTTGGAAGAGGCTAGCCGTACTTAATGACGGCTAGACTGGCAGTCTAGCCGTACTTAAGCACGGCTAGACTCACTGTCTAGCCGTACCAAAGATAGTACAAGACAAGATGGGCCACTTCTCTCTTTGAGCCAATTAAAAAAGTGTCCTCAGAATTTGGTGGCGCCCTCTTCACAAAAGCGCACTCTTTGCGAACAGAGTTACCCTACTTGAGTTTTAAAAAATCAAAGTGAAACTAGCAAGTTTTGGGATAAATTTCGGAAGAACGCTTTTTTAAAATGGTTACGCTGACAAAAAACCTCTTCCGGAGGAAAAGGAGATGGTTTTCTTCGTTTAATTTGACTTTAGAATGAAGGGCGAGAGGTCATTAAAATTTTTTAAAACTAAAACTCCGCACTGAATGTACCCGAACTGCTGATTGCTGATGAACAGCAGTCGATCTGCGCACGCAAGGAAGTGCTATTCCTATTCTTCTTCTGGAAAAACGAAAGAAAGCTTCAAAACAGACTACAGCGCCATCTGAAGCAAAGAGCATACTTCCTGCGGACACTTTTCAGGCTGAGTGACCCATCTTGTCTTGTGCTATCTTTGGCCGTACTTAAGTACAGCTAGACTTACAGTCTAGCCGTACTTATTCTTAATGGAAGTGGCTATTCTCATCCGGGGTGAGAATAGAAAAACGATCTACCTCTCACCCCGGGTGAGACTTGCCAGCGTAGGCTATTCTCACCCGGTGCGAAACAAGACCTGCTTTTCCTCATTTTGGAATACTGTCTATCGGTGTGGATGATCAAATTGATAAAAGCCAAGAAAAAATTACGTTATAGCACAAAAGTAAGCTAATTTGATCGTCTTCAAAGATGCTATGGTTATTTCACTGTTCGAATCGAGCCGAACTACGCGGGTCGCCATTTTGTTTTGACCGGAAGTTCTCCTAAGATCTACTCCTCCCCCTCTCTCTCTCTCTCTGTCTCTTTCTGAATACTGTCTATCGGTGTGGACGATCAAATTGACCAAAACAAAGTTAAAAAATGACGTTAAAACACAAAAGTAAATTAATTTGGTTGTCTACAATGATGCTACGGCTATTTAACTTTTCGAATCGAGCCGAACAACGCGGGTCGCCATTTTGTTTTGACCGGAAGTTCTCGCGCTACTCCTCTCTCTCTCTCTTTCTCTCTCTCTCCACTGCCCACAGTCACAGACAAAATTGTACGCTTTTAGTAGGCTACAGTTGTAATGGAACGTTTGTTCAAGGCACAGAATTCTACAATTTTTCTGTTATCACAGTGTAGAATTCTGTGGTTTAGGGTGAAAGCAAAATTTGTTGGCCTAGATCTAGGCTATAACGGTAAACGCGCACCGGGTGAAAATAGCCAAAAGACTCGCCTGCACTATTCTCATCCCGGGTGAGAATAGAGGTGGCCATTCTTAATATGATGGCTAGACTGACCATTTACAAAAAATAGGCCTACTGAATTGTAAATATACATTTTTAGTGTGCAGTACCTGAAGTATTTGTATTTGAGACAAAACCAGGTTGCCTTACTTAATGCCTTAATGACAGTGCATGTATTTTAAACCTCCTGTTTTCTAATGTAAATAGGGCCTAAGATAAGTACGGCTAGACTGCTAGATTCTGGGCACAATATGCTCGGATATCAACAAAGGTACATATTTAATTTAAAACTTACTTCTTCAAAACTTCAAGGGCACATCGTTTACCAGAAATTATGTTCGCAGTTTTCTTTTTCGCACTGGCTCTTCCGCCATCTTGTTGTTATGGTACACACTACACACTCATAAAGGGCGGGGTGTACTCGACCAAGATAGAAAACTCGCTACAACGAGTTCGAGGAACGATTAAAGCAAGTTTTGTGAGAAATGTGATCTAAATTTGAGTAACTGAGCTAAAAAATGACATAGTATATAAACACATAAGTCGTTATTTGTGAAAAGTATAAGTACTACAAGTAAAGGCTTAAATTTGTGATACCCTTTTCTGGCTTGTTTCTCTACAGTCAATGTTATGTCTGTGCAGTATGCATTGCTACAGTCAAAGATAGTACAAGACAAGATGGGCCACTTCTCTCTTTGAGCCAATTAAAAAAGTGTCCTCAGAATTTGGTGGCGCCCTCTTCACAAAAGCGCACTCTTTGCGAACAGAGTTACCCTACTTGAGTTTTAAAAAATCAAAGTGAAACTAGCAAGTTTTGGGATAAATTTCGGAAGAACGCTTTTTTAAAATGGTTACGCTGACAAAAAACCTCTTCCGGAGGAAAAGGAGATGGTTTTCTTCGTTTAATTTGACTTTAGAATGAAGGGCGAGAGGTCATTAAAATTAAAAAAAACTAAAACTCCGCACTGAACGTACCCGAACTGCTGATGAACAGCAGTCGATCTGCGCACGCAAGGAAGTGCTATTCCTATTCTTCTTCTGGAAAAACGAAAGAGAGCTTCAAAACAGACTGCAGCGCCATCTGAAGCAAAGAGCATACTTCCTGCGGACACTTTTCAGGCTGAGTGACCCATCTTGTCTTGTACTATCTTTGCTACAGTCATTGATTTTCGATTCTTATAAAAATCGATTAGGAACAAGGTGTATCGTTCGTCGATTAATTCCTCCTTTATATCAAAGATAGTACAAGATAAAATTCTATAAATATTCTCTGTTAGATTTAGAATCTTATATCTAGTAGTCCAGAGTTATTAAATGCAAATAAATAACATTTGCTGATTTGTACTTTGTACTTGTAAGGAAGATCGCTCTTTTAACTTTTTATTTATTTTTATGCAGGGCTCCCCTTTATATACATTTTTGTATTTTAATCTTTTCACTCAGTTCAATTATGGAAATTATAATTCAATTGCAACCCAGAACAAGCCATGGGATCCTTTGTACTCTTTCCATCTTAGGCACATATAATACTACGAGATAAAAATAAACAAAAGTGAAACTTTTAGAATCTTTCCTTAAAGAGGGTAAGTCTGTTTTTGTTTTTTACAAGAGCGATCAAAAAAAAAAAAAGATTATACGTGTATCTGCATTGTAAAGTATTATTCTGTATATTTTCAAAATCAGATAGACCTACTAAGCAAATGACTAAGCAAATGTGTATAAGTCATAGAGTTATCTGCTAGCGTAAATCTATGATAAACATGTATCAGTGTATAAAGAGCTTGATTTTAAAACGTAATTGTGTCCGTTATCTGTTTTGTTTTATTGTGTGTGTGTGTGTGTGTGTGTGTGTGTGTGTGTGTGTGTGTGAGTGTGTGTGTGTGTGTGTGTGTGTGTGTGTGTGTGTGTGTGTGTGTCCTTGTTCAATTTCTCTAACAGTTAATTTGTATTTCACTGAAATTAGTGGAAAACTAAAAACATGTTTACTGATTCTTTCTTAGTGACTACGTAGGAATAAACACAATTTTGAACAAAGGGCGAGTAACGAGCAACGATATCTTCCCAGGTTTGTGGCGATATTCAGGTGTGGAGCGGACATTAATTTTGCCTTGCTCCAGCACAGTTCAGAGTTCAGAGTTCAGATGGGGTAACTTAACTTTTTGTCATCACTGACCGCAGGAAGGAGGACGAGGAAGGTGGCATAGAAGATCTATTCTAGGATCTGCTAGCCTAGAGCTAAGAGTATCTTTGAAACTTGTCTGGGAAGGACTTTTCTGCTTTGCAACAAGCTCTTAGTGGAATATATGCTTTTTCAAATGATGAAATGTGGCATTCAATTCCCTTGCGGTAAGTGTAAGTGGATAAGTGTGGTGTTACTGATAGCCAAGGTCCTAGGTTTTGGCTTTGGGTAGGCCCAGGCCTTGGAATTCCCCTCGTCTGTCACTTTCGTGTTGTGGAATAACATAGATTCTAGAGCTAGAGCTAGATCTAGAATCTAGATCTAGTTAGAGAAAGGTGGAAAATGTTTGTCCGTGGCCTATACCCTGGGGTGAGAAAGGCAATGATGATGATGACTTTCATGTTGGAAAGTCAGGCCTCTAAAATCGCAACACTTGACGACTTGACGTTCTGTTTTTGACTTGGGTTTATTTGGGGGCACCACCGGCTCGGGTCATGCTTCTATGACGCAGCAATTCAACTAGATCTAGATCTAGATCTAGATCTAATCTAGATCTAGAATCTAATTAAGCTACTCCGTTTCTGACCATGACAAAATTAATTAGCAATTTTTCAACTTTGTGATAAAGTCCTCTTCCCCAGAGCTCTATTCTTATAAAATTCTATATTCTCTGTTAGATTTAGAATCTTATATCTAGAAATCTAGATCTAATCTAGTAGTCCAGAGTTATTAAATGCAAATAAATAACATTTGCTGATTTGTACTTGTAAGGAAGATCGCTCTTTTAACTTTTTATTTATTTTTATGCAGGGCTCCCCTTTTTTACGCACAAATGTGCATATTTTACGCTTTATACCTGCAGATTACCCCTTTTAAGTTTTGGTTTTGTGCGCGAGCTTTACTCTTTATGATTTCATACCTATACGCTTTAAAACATATATATAGTTGGTGTGTGTCTGGCAAGCATCTTTTCCTCTCTATCCCAAAGCCGAGTCAATGATTTGACCACGCACCCACACACATGCGCGACTGTCACCTTCTGTGTCAGAAGAAGTCGACTAGTCGACCTACTTCAGCTTTGCGCAGTTTCCGGCAACACAGGCTTGCTTCAGCACAGAAGCTCCGCCCACATTCTGGTCACTCATATTTGCCGGTGTCGTGCCTTGAGTTTACCCCTGCCGTGGATTACCCCCATCCTTCTTTAACACACAAGTAAACTGACATGAATTGTCCATCATCGAAAGTGTGGAAAGACCCTGGGATGGCTCTGAAGAATATTGAATCAGTTTATTTTCCAAACCTGCCACTTATCCCTGCCCTCAGTCTCAAGCATCCCGATTTTCCCGATTTTGATCATGTAACCCTGATTTTTTTGTTTAATTTTTTGTTCCGCCTGTTGCGCTGGATTTTTCTAAAATCTTACTCTTGCCTTCTTTTCTGTCGTGGGAAGCACTCGTTAAACTTTTTGTCAGCAGAAACTCGGAGCACTATTTTCCAAAATGTCTATGTCGAATTTTGTATTTGACTCACCAAAAGTTGTCTTGGATCTTTGCTCACACGTGTTATTTCAACTATAATGGAAGTAGTATTGATTTGGCATTCCGACTTAGGACATTCTCAAGATCTACTTTCTCCAAAATATGCTTTGTCCGAGTTTTGATGAGTCAGGCCCGTCATCAAGACCTGTCAATAAAACTGCTTCAATCACACATTCGCACCACGTGACATGACTTCGGCGTGCGAGTTACGCATGTGTCGTGTCGGAGACCGTAGTTGACGGGGTCAATTTAAGTTCATGCACACTGGTTTAAGCGTCTTTCGGGACTTATCCGAGGGGAGGGGGGGCGTGTAAAACACTTGGACTAGGAGACCTTGACATGATACTTCAGGATAAAAAAAAAGGATAAAACAAACACAGGCATGCGCGCGCGTGCTCATACACACGCACGCACACACACACATGCGCGCGCACACACACACTTACCACACACACGCAAGCGCGTAGAGGGAATATACATGGATATAATAATGGACACACCTGGAATTTTTTAAAGTCAGCTTGGCAGTGACCTAGGTGATTTTTCGTTGATCCCGATTTTTTTCACCAAGTCCCAATTTTTTCCCCCACTGAGATCCTGACTTTTAGATTTCATAGAGTGGCAGGTCTATATTTCTTAGGGTATTACAGTCGGAGTTGACCCTTTTTGGTTTGTCAACACTATTTTATTTTTGATAGACCCAACTGCTCAACCACCACCTCTCTTCCCCCCTCCTTTATTTTTTTTAAATTATAGACTTTCTACACATGATTTTTAAAATGAATTCTTCACTCTTTCTTGGTTGTTAAAGAACTTTATTAAAAAAAGAAAGTAGTAAAGCAGTACGGTGCACTGCAGCCTTTCCTGATGTTTGTAAGTTAGGGACGCACGCAATTGCGTTCACCAACACTTTTTTTTTATACGCACGCAATTGCATGCAAGGCAAGGTATCAGACTTTGCTATGCACGCAATTCAGTGCCATATGTGAGGATGTTGTTTCGATATTCGTCTGGGTTTTGGTAATGTACGGAATACCAAAGGCATGGAGGATCGCTCAGATCATACCGCTCCTAAAGAAGGGGAAACCACCTGGAGAAGCGAAGAGCTACCGACCTATATCACTAACATTATGTATCGGTAAGCTTGCCGAAAGAATGGTGAACAACCGTCTTTACTGGTACCTGGAAAACTCCAAGAGCTTGAACCCACATCAAGCAGGCTTTAGAAAAGACAGCAGCAGCAACACAGAAGACCAACTTTTCAAACTAAGTCAAGACATCCAGGATGGTTTCCAGGAGACTAAACACACTGTTGCCGTCTTTGTAGATCTCCAACAGGTGTATGACAGAGTGTGGAGAAAAGGCCTACTCATGAAAATGATGGACCTCAGGATACACGGGAAACTTTATAAATGGATCGAGTTTTTCCTAGCAGATTGAAATATCGAAACAAAGGTGAACAATGCCCACTCGTCAAGAGAAGTACTCGAGGAGGGCCTACCCCAAGGTTCCTGTGTGAGTTGCACTTTATTCCTGATCTTCTTTAATGATGTGACGAACGTGCTGAAATCAAAAAAGACTCTCTATGCTGATGATCTTGCTCTTTGGCAGACACATCACAGCACGGTAGTAGGAGCAGGAAAATTAAATGAAAAGGCTCCACAATTACTGTCAGAAATAGAAGCTCAAAATAAACTGCTCGAAAACAGTATACACCATCTTTACAAAGAGCCATAAATAAAACAGCCAAAGAAAAACTCCAACTGAAGATAGGAAATGAAAATCTCCCCAAAGAAGGACAACCAACGTATCTAGGAGTCAAACTTGACCAAAGTCTAACAATGAAAAGCCAAGTGGAGAGCATAAAGAACAAGGCGAAAAGAAGACTCCAACTTTTAAAGAAACTCGCAAGCAGTTCATGGGAATCAGACAAACAAACTCTGAGAGCTCTGTACCTTGGTTATGTCTGATCTTCCCTGGAATACAGCAATAGCCTACTCACTATGTGTAGTGCAACTACTTGCAATACCCTTGACAAGGTCCAAAATAATGCCCTTCGTTTCATAAATGGTGGCATGAGATCTACACCTACTGCCGCATGTGAAATTCTGTCAAATGTTGAACCCCTGGGAATTCGCAGAGGTTAAGCAGTTTCGGAGCTCTATGAAAGAACCAAAAGAATGTGCCCCAACCATCCAAACAGGAAATTAGTAGAAACATGGAAACCAAAGAAACGACTTCAACAAAAATCAGTCATGCATCGCATCACAAAACTAATGGAGAGCCACCATCTACCACAAAACAGAAGAGAAACCAAAAGAGTCAACCAAAACATCCCTCCCCACATTTCTATGGAAGTTGATGCTTGCATCACATCAAACAATCGACAGCTATTCAGATGACTAGATACACGTCAGTCACGTCTATACAGACGGCTCAGCATTCAAGGGCACAACCAAAGCCGGATATGGAATACTAATACAATACCCAGATGGAAGTTCCAATGAGATCTCTGCAGCCTGTGGAGAGAAATGCAACAACTACGACTCAGAAATGATAGCAATTGAGACAGCACTACATGATACACCATCTCCACACAGTTTTTGACACTCATCCAAACAAAACAGAGTATAGTGATCTTCACTGACTCACTATCAGTCTTGCAAGCAATAGAAAATGATCACCATCTAAACGAAGACTTGACACATATACTGTTTGGCTCCCATCATCTGATAACATTCTGTGATGCAGTGGATTCCCAGACACTCAAACATACCTGCAAATGACAGAGCAGACACACTCGCCAAAAGGGGATCTAGACAGGAACAACCCAACATTCCATCTTCATACAATACTTCAAAACAAATCATTAAAAGTAACAGCAAACAAGATTGGATGAACAGATGGGCCTTGGGAAAGACAGGCAGAGCAGTTTTCAAACATATGACTACAACAAAACGAAAAGACAATATCAACCACCTACAGAGAAAGAAACAGACCACGATCTTCCACCTACAAACAGAACATATACAGCTCAACTTTCACTTGAACAGAATAAAACCAGAACTTCCCCCAATGTGTCCTTTGTTTGACTATGCATATGAGACAGTGGAACATCACCTTTTCCACTGTACAGCCCTAAATGACATCAGAGCTACACTTCTCCATCAGAGACCTAACTTCGACAACACACTCTACGGAACATTACAGCAACTGCAGCAAACCTGCACAACAACAACAACAACGAAAATTTCATTCTAGACTCTCATCATCATGTTAACAATCATTTGTCGTTTTAATTTAAATCTTGCATTGTTGTTTTTAGTGTTTGCTCAATATAGATTTATTTCAACTAGTGGACCTGTTCCTTTATTATCGTTCTTACTAACATCGTTGACAGTTCTCTATATCTGTCTGTCCCGCTCAATATCAGTCGTAAGACGCACTGTGCTATTATTAGCTACGAGACAAAAAAGTGACTTTCCATTTATTTTTTTTATTTTTTGGATCTATTGGAAGTTTGATGTCTTCTTCTTCATTTTTGAGATAAAAATAACTCTAATCGACTATAGATATTTTATTTTGGAGGTGTGTGTGGTTTGTTTTGGGCTTGGGTGACGAGATGGACGTTGCTAGTTTGTAGGTGTGAGATTATTTTTTGAACCATTACCTCATGGCCACCTTTGCTTTAACCAAAGATCGAGTTAGTAGAGAATTTTTCCTTCAAAGTTTTTCATTCGCAACTATTTTGAGATTTTGACCCCTTTTCGAGCATGAATGGTCAGAAATGTGAACAACTCTGATTGGTAAAAACGGAGTAAAACGGTAACTTCAAGCTCACTTCAAGCTTGTTTAACTTAAACAGCTGACTGTGTGGGCGTGCCCTGCTTGCTGTCATTTTATCGTCTGTTGATCTTTCAGTTATATGCTTGGATTGACTTTAAAAATCCGTTTTCATTGTGTTTTAATGCTTTTAAAAGATGAATTAACCTTCCTCTAGATCTCTCAAAGCAGACTCCTTACCAAGAGGCCACCGAGGCGGTCTATGTGCATGAGTGTGTATGTGTGTTGGTGTGTTTGTATGTGTGTGTATGTATGTGTTTGTATTGTTTGTTTGTGTGTGCTCTCGTGTGTTTATGGTGCTATTGCAAACGTATAATAAGGTTTTGTAAACACGGCAGGTAAGCCGACTCGCGACCTTCCGAGCGCGTGATTTCGGTGAAATGGGGGTAATTCAGATCTTTGTTCCTTTTAACACTTTGAAAAACTTCAGATTTTCTTTGTTACAATAGTGTGAGTTGTTTTTATATCCGAGTGTTTGGAGCTGGAGAATCGCTGTGGAAAGGGAAGCCCCTCAAGGTCGGAATGCGAGGTCGGCAGGTTCAATATTGAAACCCATGCATTCAAATGCTTTGCAGAAAGATTGATGATTAAATACCGTCTTTTCATTGGCGGAGAATCACACAGCTTTGAGCGTGGTTTCACGTGGTTATTATTTTTGGCCTTTGTCGTTTTGGATAGAAAATCTTGCAAAAAAGCGTCTACGTTTTCAAAGATTTTAACAGGAAATGTGTAAAATACCGGCTAAAAAAAGTACCAATAGAAAGAACAGCTCTTTTTCTATTAGAATCAAGTCATTGGGTTGGAATTATTTTGCATGAATCCTTCAGCGAAACTCCGGGGAGAACTCAGTACACTACAGTATATCAGAGTCGGTGTTTTTATTGAAATAACGACAGATCATCGTGTTTGAGGCAATAGAATACTGATTTGTAATGATCTCATAGTCTTGAAAAAAATTAGGCTTCATTTCTTTGTTATACTGATTGTACTCGTTAATGTAGAGATGTTTTGTGCTCTTAGTACTCTTTTATTATCTGTTAGTCTTGGGGGTTGCAGCCAGTTAGCGACTTCAGCAATATTTGATTATTATGTTAAATTGAAACAGCTGCCATTCTCTTAAACATTGACTGAGAGGTAAAAGTATGGTACCAAAGTTCTTAGGAGGCATAGGCCTTTCACATGAAACAGACGAATTTGACATACAGCTACTTTGAAAATTTAGTATCTGGTACCTAGCATTATAATACTAATATTTTGTTGCATTTGACGTGAAGTCCATTCTTGTGAAGATTGTCCATAAATTTTTCTCTGTGAATGAATAGTTTTCTACTTCCGTATATTACCTTGTAGTGGCATAGCGAAGATAACTGCTAAATTTCGAGTCTCTATCTCAATTCTAAGACCCCTTTTGCTATGGAAACATGTTGCTCAACTTCAGAGGCCATTTTCTCCTTTCCGTGTTTCCTCACCTCGCACAATTAAAAGTTCTGTATTTTCGTCAAATATGGTTATATTTACTTCATTCATCTTGTTTTAAATTGTAGGGAAAATGAGAAAAGTTTTTAAAAATAATGTTAACTCAGTTTTGAAATGTCCTTCATATGACTGATATTGACCGGCAGGGACATTATATATTATATATGTGATCTATGTCAGATTATCTTGTAGTAGTAGTCCTTAAAGTCAATCATAGATTTGAACCGTGCTAGCAATAGGAGTTAATTTCCCTCTTCTTTAAGTTCAAGTTTGCCCCTCAGAATTATGTTTCCCTTTTCTGTCCCGCACCTAAATGGGCTAAGGCAACAGGATGAGAATTGATAAATCACTTGAGTCTTCACGCTTGTACCTTTTGTTATTGATATTTATATATACCCCCATCCTCCCCCAACCAGGGCAGTGCTATTAACTGAAGTTGCCTTTAGGCCATTCCCAAAAGGGGGATATTGACATCTTATGTACAGTAGAATTGTAAATGAGCTGATTTATCAATGTCATGCACATACTGTGCCGGAACAACATAGGAGGAACTGCTCTTTTTCGTTCCTCATCTTTACTATCGTAATTTTTCCTGTATTCTTCTTTTGTATGTTTGTCACTCTCTTGTGAACTGCTATTTCTGGGGTGCCTTGATAGTCGAAGCAGACTTTGTGTTGTTGAGGCTAGAGAGGTGAGCAGAGTAAGCCTGATTCCCCGTTTGGCCTTCTCTGTTGACATCCACCCCTTGGCGCTCACATGACCTTATGCAGATGCGAACGGCGTAAAACCTTACTAAAACAAACATAAAACAAGTTCGGAAGCTTCCATGCAGCCTGTACAATTGTTCTTTTAATTTTCAGACTTTTTTGGATTCCTGAGATTTTCAGCTGAAAACTGCCTCAGAAAGACAGAAAACGTGAGGTTGCAATACTACATAATGGAATGTAACTCTGGGTGGCTTTCCTTCAAATCACTCAATAGTAGCTTTTCTTGTACATGTAGATTCAATGTCCCTTCTTCCAGTTCGGTACGACAGTCCGAACCTGACTGACACTGTGCGTAAAGACTCAACGTGTCTACACAAAATTGCGTGCGTATCAAACTATGATACCTTGCTCGCCGTGCGTCAAAATTTGAATTTCTGTGCACGAACGTGTGCATAGACTCAGCCTGTTAATTGACCTGGGTGAGGACTGGATATTTTATAATTATGTTTAGATCTTTCCCACTACTTTGACTCTGAGTAGACATGCAGTACACTGCTTCAGAATTACAAAAATGTAACATTTTTGGCCGGTTTGATTGTACTTAGATTATTAAGACCATGAGGCTGAGGTCAGAAGTCAAATGCTCTATTTTTCTGTTTCAAAATCGTAAGATTATTCGGAGTCTCTACCTGTCTAGACAACCACTTTTTTCCTCAACAATGGATAGCTATCTGTCCTGGACAATTTTGACTGTATTTTGATAACTTTGAGGTGTTTGCTTATAGAGTATCGGAACGATCAGCAATGTTCACAATTCTGAAACAGACAAGATGAACAACGTGTAAACTCACATATATAGACGAACAAGCATCACAATGTATAGTAATCTATGCCCCCCCCCCCCCAAGTCTTTGTGATGCAGATGTGATTTTAGGCCACAAGTATGAGAGGCAAAGACTGAGAGAGAAAGTTAAACAGGACAGTCGTAAACAAAAGAATAATTCCTGGTGTCAGGTATGACAAGTGAAGTGGAAGAATTTGAACCAGTAACGTAACTTGTTGACAAGCAAACAAAAGTCAACAAAATGAAACCAACAGCTGTGCCGAGCACAAAAATATAGGCTAGCAATCGGACATATCAACGGGGTATGGTGAACCAACAAGGAGGTGAAACACCAGTCGTGGTAAACGTAGTCATGGACTGGCAACTGAACATAGAATCAATTCGTGCTTGATGTCCATGGGCAATGTGCATGAATCATAATGTCACTTGTATAATGGGGTTTCTGATCTAGTTGCACATTTCATGACCGAAAAAGTATCTTCTTTTAAGCCAGGTTTGTTGAATGGTCGTAGGGCTCTCAGGGCTTGTGGTTCACGCCACATGGGTGTGGTCGGTGCAGTAGTACGCTCTGCCGCAACATTTTTTTATGTTGGTTCTGCCGATGTGGTTATTGTTGCCGGGGGCTCATTCGCCATGGGTACAACTGCTTGTTGCGATGGACTATCACCGTTTATGGGCACCCCTTCAACGCTGGTGTCGGCAGGTGTGGGCGGTTGCACAGGTGCCAGTGATTGACAAGGCGTGTCTTGGGGATCAGGAGACATGTTGGTATGGTTCCTAGCCTGCACAAATGTGTGAGCATGGGGCATTGGAGTCATGGCTAGGGGTGATCTGGTTATCACGGGCAGGTACTTGCGGAGGAATTTCCTGTTTCGTAGTGTCACTCAGCCCGATCCATCCACTCTGATGACGTACTGGTCAAACTGTCGAACCTCTATCACGATGCCTGTTTTGTCCCATTTAGTGGGGAAGGGACCTGTCTGGTTCTGAATACGGACGCAATTGCCGACTAGCAATGGAGGTAGCACCCTGGTATGTGCAGACAGTCTTTCGGCATCCTTCATTTGATGATTCCTGTGGGCTTCCTCTCTAGAGGATAGGGTCTCTTGCCAATTCGGATGGGGAAGGTACTTTCTTCGGTGAATGGGAAGGAAATCGCGAATGGGTCGGCCAAATATGCACATGGCAGGGGACTTGGGTAAAAGGTGTCTGATATACCCTCTGCCAGGAGTAACGAATCACCAGCAGCAAGTTTAAATCTTCTTATAGCAGTTCAAAACTCCCAGTTTTAAATCGTGTCGTGAGAGCCAACTATCAGTCAGTTAGTTCCTTTGAGGTTGTTCAAAGTCTTTCTTTCACTGACAAGTGAAGGAAATAATCTGCTCTTCTGTCCAAGAGAATTGTGAACATAGATAACTTTGAGGTAGCCTATTTGCTTATAGAGTATCGGATCGATCAGCAATGTTCACAATTCTAAAACAGATAAGATGAACAACATATAAACTCACATAGACGAACAAGCATCACAATGTATAGTCATCTAGTATTTCGTTCTTTGACAGATTGTTGCAGTGTCTTGACGCCATAACTTAAGGGCTAACATTTATAAGTTGAAGAGCTATGGACAACAGGTCAACAAACACCAGGGAAGAATGTCTTCTGGACATGGACAAACAGGGTCAGATACAGCGCATCAAGGACATTTGCCAAGTTATTCGTAAGTAGGCCTACGTTTTGTTTCATAATTATATTAATAATAATAGTTCATCGGTCAATGTCTGATGATGACCAATGCATCTGTGGAGAATTTTTTCCTGTGTAAAAGAGAAGGAAAAGGGTTTAGATGACTAATTATGGCAGATATTAATATTTGCCACATTTTGAGCATTTTATATTTAAAAGATTCATTTCTACTCGTGGATATATTGTATGCAGCTTGTTGAAATATTTGTATATTCGTAGTTTATATTTTCAGCCACCGTTGATACAATATTTGGGACCTTTTTCTGCTTATAATTGGGGCCAATCTGGGCTGAAATGGATAGATATGTCATCCCAGCTGGCAGATGGAGATATTCGATGAAAATCCTACCCAGATGAGATTTCAACTGGCATCTAATTCTGAGCTGTCTCCTAAAAACAAGACTTGGTTGAAAGTGCTGGGGAAAAAATTAATTAAATGTAGACCTGGCAGAATTTGAAGAATTTTATTTACTATCATGAATGAATGATAAATTTCCTCAACCGTTTTTGTGATTTATTTTTATTTTTCTGCTTTTCAGCTTATCCCCCCAGTGTGCAGAAGCAGGAGGAGCTAGCTGAAGAGTTCCTAGAAATTGTGGACAGACTGGGATTAGATTTGAGTGACCCTGTGAAAACGTTTCCCAGTGCTTTCAACCCCTTCTTTGAAGCATGTCAGTCTGGCAATATTCCGATCCTCAAGGTCAGTGGGGAGTTGGCTGTCTTTTTTTATTATTGTTTTTTAAAGAGGACGGTAATCCATCCACTAGATATAATAATCGAGGCCCAGATTTCTCCTGCTTACCAGTGGACACAAAGCCGAAGAGAAAGTTGAGAACAGATACTACACTTTGATCTTAGCCAAAAGACCCTTGTAGTGGGTAGGCCTAGTTTATGGTGGGTGCTCAAGTAGTGTGGTTTGCTTCTTCTTTTCTATCAAACATCTTAACTCTTTATCTCTCATCCTTCTTTCCTTTGTATGTTACTGTCTAGTTAGTACTCCCGCTATAGTCTGCAGCACTTATGTATCATGACCAATTTGTCTTTACCCTTGTGCATCTTGGGTCTTTTTTTTAACATAAAATTCATTATTGTACTTTTTATACATGTCGCTGATGGTTGACGGGTGCTCTGGTATGGTTTGCTCTTTCTTTCGGATCAAACATCTGTCATCCTTATATGTCCTCCTTTTTTGTGTTTGTTACTCTCTTGTAACACCTCTGTTCTTCAGCATTTATATGTGTCACACAGTGGAATCATGCACTTGTCAATTTTTGGGCATGTGGAGTTATTGGTATTATCTGAAAGCTTATTCATTTTCCTTGCTTTAAAAGAAAAAAATACCCTTCTCTATATCGAATAGAAATCGTGCTATTTGCAATAGAAAACGGTGAAGTTGCCTGTTTTGGGTTTTTTTAAATCAGCAAGAAAATGGCCGTCAAAGTTTGGTAACTTCAATACCTTGAGAGTCCTTGAATACTAAAAAATTACATATTTTGTGCCTTTACTCAACATTTTTCAGTAAAAAATCTCATGGAAATGTGTTTTTATATGGATATATAAGGTGTTGAGCAAAAAAACAACAAAAAAAGATGAAATTGCCAAAGTGGTCCAGAAAAGCATATTTCTTCGATTTCATTATTTTGACGAGCGCCTGATTTCATCAAAATGCCTCATGTATGACCTTATTGTGTTTTAAGTGCCGTAAAACTCTTAGTAATACTAAATTGTATAGAGATATGTATGTTTTATATATAAATATAGTACATTCGTATATATATATAATGATTGATGAATCCCTGCTATGCTTGAGAAATAGTATTTCACTTTTCCCTTAATTTGACTTCCATAGGCAAACAACCCTACCTACCTCCCTTTAAACACAACATACACATACTTTTAGCACCTTCCCCCCATCCCCAATCCCCACTCATAAAATGAAAGAATAAAACAAAATAGCAAAGATAGATACATGTATAAGTAAATTAATTAAATAGATAAATAAATAATGTTTTGCCTTTTGCAGACTCTTCTTGTTTGTTTTTTTTAGATCCTGCTCTGTTCTGTCTTTTTTCGGACTTTGATGTGAGGCTATTTTTTATATTCTAATAGTCAGTGTTCTTAGAAACCTTGAAAATTAAAAAAATTTGAGTATGTTTCTTCTGTTCCACTGCATTGATTTAATAATATTCAAACTTATATCTTGCGTAGCAAGTGGTTGGCAAGTGCTCTGGTGTAGTTTGCTCATTTTTTTCCCTATCAAACATCTGTCGTCCTTATCTCTCCTCTCTCTTTCTTTGTATTGTACACTCTAGTAACATATGACATAATTGTGTTGCAACTGCTGTAAAACTCTCACTAAAACTAATAATATCTTTTATATATATGATTTCTTTTTCTCAGATATTTGTTGAGCGAGGTGCTAGTCTGAATGTCTTTGACGCTCATGGGAGGACACCTCTGTTCCTCGCTATTTCTGCACGCAACAATGACCACAACGTTGTTTCCAGTATCCTTGACCTTGGAGCCAAAATTGATCTCAGCTCAGAAGGAAGATCGCCTCTTTTAGCGGCTTATTATAATGTGAAACGAGAGGTACTTTGACTGTAATAGAGATATAATACAGTCGAACCTGCACAAACAACCACCTGTTCAAGACAATCCCCTGAACAAACTATCACCTGTCACTTACTACTTTGCTCCTCGACAATGGATGGTCTTCTTTGACCAGTTTTGTGGTATTCTTCATTTGTTTATGCTTGAGCTTTTGAGTGATGATTTACTCTGTGGTACCGTCGATATTTGCAGCTGAAGGTCAAGACAAAGGTCACCTGTCATCAAGGCTGTGCCCATCCCTGTGTTGTTTTATGGGGGGTGGGGGTTAGTATGATAATGACACTGTCCATGAAGTCCACCTGTCTCAGACAGCCACTTTTCTCCTCTAAAGTGGGTGGCTGACGTGGACAATATTGACTGTATTTTATAGTTTTCAATTGATCCATAAAATGTTGCTTACCCTTCGGGGCGATGCTACTGACTGAAGTGTCTTTAGGCCTTTTCCAAAGGGGGGACATTAATTTGTTCTTATGCGCAGTAGAATTGTAAATGGACTGATTCATCAATGTCATGCACATAACTGTGCCTGAACTGCAACAGGGAACTTCTACTTTTTCTTTCCTAACCTTACTATCGTCATTTTTCCTCAACTTCTTTTGTATGTTTGTCACTCCTGTGACCCACTATTTCCAGGGTGCCTTGAGCTTGATAGTCGAAGCAGACTTTATGCTGTTGAAGCTAGAGAGGTGAGCAGAGTAAGCCTGATTCCCTCTATGGATTTCTCTTTTGACATCCACCCCTTGGCGCTCATGTGACCTTATGCAGTTGCGAGCGCCATAAAAACTCTGAAACTAAACTAAAATTAAAATGTTGCAGTCTGTCCTGTTTTTGTTGATTTCTTATAAACTTTGTGGTATTTTTCACAACACTGATCAATCACCAAGATTGCGTGGCTGTGCTAAAATCTCTATGTTGTGTTTTCCTGTCCGCAGACGGCTACAGTCCTCCTGAGGCGAGGTGCAGACGTGAACAACGTGATCCTGCCATCGTTCTGCTTCGTGGAGTCTGTCTTCTCCCTGCACTCCAACCTAGTCATGATGGCTTCTGGTCACCGTTTTCAGCTGACCTCCTTTCTAGAACTGGTGGCACTGTCTACAGAGATTGTCATGGCTGGTTTGCACCAACGGACTTTCTACCTCACAGCGAGGGGAGTTCTCTATGAAAGATTTACCCGAGGGGAGCTTCTCACACTATGGAAATTTCAGCACTTGTGTATGATTCTCAACTTTAAGGTGGAGAAAAAATCTTTGGAACGAACAATTCAGGAAATACGGGATCTAATTGGTGCGGAAAGAGACAGGTCTCAGGTGGGATGGATGACAGAAAGACAAGAGAGATTGTTGTGGATTCAGAATTTTCAGTCCAATGCTTTACCCTTGACCTACTTAGCCCGCATTGCCCTGAGATCCCACCTGGTGAACCCGCATGTGGGAGCAACTGCTCATGTGAATGTAAAGATAGACTCTCTGCCACTTCCTCGGATGTGCCTGGACTTTCTCAAGATGAAACACTGTGATATCCGCGATGTTCATGATTATATGACTGTGTAGTGCCTCATGGGGAGTACTTAACGACAAGAACAGGTACATTTCTGTGATAGGAAAGAAGAAAAAAAAAACCCACCAGAGCACCCGCCAACCACCCACTGATGTTGTTATAGACTTCGCACCTGAACTAAAGTGTACTCCATGTGATAGACTAACGGACATAACTGAAACATTTCTGTGCCGAGCTGTTCAACTGTTCTAAGCTCAGAAAGCAACAATTTTCAGGAGAGAAAAAAAACTGTTTCATTCTTTTAACAATTATACTGACAATATATTATATATATTTGCTCTTTTCTTGCTTCTTTTGACATTTAGAATTTAAATATTGACAAACAATCTCTTAAGCACATACAACTATTACCACAGGCTAGGTGTCCACAGCCTCCGCTCTTCATCATGAAATGTCTGAACAGAATCGTGTAGGTCGTCTTTATCCACATCATCCACTCCGCTTCTCTTTTATACAAAATGGCACTGACAAGAAAAACGCAAAATCTTTCTTTGGTGGTGGTACAAAAGAATATCTCTCACACTATCGGCGTTACTGGATTCATCCCATATGTTGTCACCTCACCAAACTTGGAAAATTCAGTCTCCTACCCCAAATATTCACTAACAAAGAAAAATGCATAGACTGTCTACCGAAACGAACTTATCTATCGCTATCTACGGATGAAGAAAGCGACATTTGATTTTCTTCTGACCACGTGTGCCCCTGGCTTAACTGCGTGTTTTATAAAATTACCTTGATCATTAATCCCATGATCATCATTGGCAGCAGCAATACCCATACCATCAGTCACCCTCTTTATCTTTAAATACCGAATTAACAATTGATGAATATAACAATAGGCTAACAAGAACAGCATATACTGGTTTCAGAGTAGTACGGTGAGCCACACCGTAACAATATAACTACATGTATTATAATACACCAGGCTCTCCTCACAACCGGTAAAGCATTTGAAATGTTTGAGGCACAAAAGTGAGGAGCAGAATGGAAAGGAGGCTGTGGACAATTTAACTCATTCGCTACACCGAGTCGTGGGGGGGCGGCGCGGCTAAAGTGCTTTCAGTACGCTAAGCCACCGCCAATCCACACATCTATGTTAAAGTAAAGGTCATAATATAATGTTGACTTCCGGGTCAAACGTATCCACCGAAAATCTGAAGTTTTGATTCAGTTTTGATACACAATTTAGAAGTTTATGCGACTTTGTTTTATCGCTATGCTCAAATTATAGCCCAGACACCAGTCTTACTACTTTTACACAACAAAATATATCGTTATTATGCACACCAAAGAAATGTAGGATTCTTCTTTTGAATATTGATACAATTGGGCTCAAATTGCCATTGCTCTGTTATTGAGAAATCAATATTTTTCAGTGCTAGATCTAGAAAATTATTTTTTTCTCCCAAAAATCACTATTTTTTTGTGAAATTACACAAAAGTATCACTCAAGACGTATAGGTTTATTCCAAAAGCAATTCTGAATAATTCCATATACCATACGAGTCTTTTTTATTTATGTTTGTGAATGCATCTTGCCCATTTTTCAAGATTATAAAATTTTTGGGGTTTTTTTTTCAATATCAGATGTCATGATCCAAATGTGCAAATTTTATGGAACGTATATAAATAACTGCAAATTTTTCAATATTTTCCAATTCTATATATTCATTTATGGTTATTTTGATGTATCATTTGACTAGGTGCAAACATATTTTTAGAGTTTCAGCGAAGATGATTTATTTTTTTTTATTTTCAAATTTTATCCGCAATCCAAGCAAAATTGTGTTGCATAATCGCCTCTTACAGGAGCCAAAGTTGAAAAATCCACAAATAAACATTACAGATGTATTCTACAAATCATACTGAAAATTTTGGTGCATAATGTGTTAATATTTATTTGAATTTGTGACCCCAAAGACCTTTGAACTGCACACTAGTCATCATCTCATTTCGCCTTCCCGAAAAAAATTCGTCCACAAACCGAAAATAATATGTAGTGAATGAGTTAAGTATTAGTTCATTGTGTTGAGGCTTTCATCAGCATTTTATGATGTTTGGAGCAGAGGCTGTGGCCAAGCGCTCTAAGAAACTGCTGGGTTTTTTTTTTTAATTCCAAAACTTTGAGCTAAGTACATCTGAACAGCTGTCCGATGATTTGATGGACGAAGAAGAGGAAGTCTGGCATTCAGTGGGTCGCGACACCACCCTTGTGATCAGAAGTTAGGTCACTCGTTGGTTATTTGTTGAGCTATGTACCTTAAAGAAAGATGCTTTAGAGATTTTTCCCTCTTTCCTTCATGTAAAGTGCCTTTCCCAATGACCGTGTATGGAAATTGAACCCACGACCTTACAGTTGAGAGTCCGAAAGCCTAACCTGTAGACCACTGACACCACAACACTTTTGCCTTCATTCTGTCTTCATGACCACCTTAAAAATTGATACATAAGTTCTTCCAAAGACTTTACTCTTTCTTGTTTCTGATGTTTTCCTTTATCTTAGTAAGAGTTTTACGGCACTTGCAACACAGTTAGGTCATATAAGTGCTGAAGATTAGAGATGTTACAAGGAAATAACAAACACAAAAAGGGAGGAGCTAAAAACTAAAGTGTACTCCATGTGATAAGACTAAGAGACATCTGTGCCTTACAGTTTCATGGGCTGATTCAAACTGCAGTGGTACCGTTGGCACAGATTTGAAGGATATTGATAGATGACATAAATTTGCTCTATGATGAGCAGTTACTGTGGTGAACAAGAATTACATACACACCTTACTTCATAGGTGGTTGACGGGTGCTCTGGTGTGCTTTGCTCTTTCTTTCCTTTCAAACATTTATCGCCCTTATCTCTCCTCCTTCTTTTTGTGTTTGCTACTCTCTTGTAATACAGTACAGTGGAGTCCGCTTATAACGAGTCCTGAAATAAAGAGAAGTCTATTATAAAGACACTATTCTAAAACCCCGTTTTTTCCCTTCTTTATCTCTTAAATAAAATACTGCTATTGCGCAATCAGACTGTCACGCCAGTCGCTTATAATGGAATATTGCTGCTGCTGTGCACAGCGCAAAGTTATTGAACATATAAAACCTCGCCAGTTGAGAAAAGTTGTTGGTGATCCAGTGAAACAAAGAATGGGAGAGCCCATGGCGAAGCAACAATGAAGGCCGGAGCGAATGAGTGGGGAGGGTGTGGCATGCGCAGACAAGCAGAACGCACCGCGTGATAGGCCAGCCCAGTCTATATTATTTAGGCAAACCGTGCCTCTCACTTCTCTGGTGTGGGATGGAGAGGACACAATGCTGTGATAGATGGAGTGAATGTGTGATGTGCGCAAGCAGATGCAACGCGCCACAGGGTGTGATGGCGTGGGGGACAACACAGCGGGCGAGTTAGCCTAGAGCCAGAGCCCGTTCTTTCTGATCGCCAGCGACGAGCTGTCAACATTGCTAGTGCTAGAGAAAGAAACCTGATCCGATTTTTTATCAAGTAAGACCTACAGATCATGTTGAACAAAGTCATCATCAGGGGAAATACAAAAAAGAACAAACAGAACACCAAACTCATAGATTAGGTCTACTTTACTATTTCCCTTGAATTTATTACTGTATCCCTTATAACGAGAATCCTGCTATAATGTGCATTTGGCACCGGTCCCCTCCCTCTCGTTATAGTTATAACAGGATTCCACTGTAATACCTTTAATCTTCAGCATTTATATATGAATTATGACCCTATTGTGTCAGAAGGAACGTAAAACGCTAACTAAAACAATAAAACACCTTACATCTGCTGCAGAGAGGCCATCTCTTTTTGTTAAAATTGATAACCGTGTGGAGTGTAGATATATTTTGTAAGGACAGTCTAAATTGTCCAAGATAGCCGCCCATTGTCAATGAGAACAGTAGCTGTCTTAGACAGGTGGATATATACCTTGGACAATGTCATTAGAAAATGTGTTGCATCATGGTGAAATCAGGCGCTCGTCAAAATAATGATTATTTTTTATTATAGTTGTTCCGTGCCTTTGTCTGAATGAAAATAGTCTGTGTGTGTGTGCGCGCGCGCGCGCGCATAAATATATATTGCATGAGAAGAAAGAAGTAGTTAGAAAGCTTTTGAAAATGGGTATTCCAATGTAAAGCGCATTGAGCTACTTTTTTAGAATTGCGCTATATATAAATGTTATATTACTATTATTATTTAAATCAACATTTTTCCACCTGTTGGGCAATATATATTTTTTGGCTCAACATATTTTATGTCCATTTAAAAACCAATTTCTGTGTGGATTTTACTGAGATATGTTGATCAAAGGCACTAGAAATGTAAATTTACAGTTGCCGAGGACACCCAAGGTTTGGAAGTCACCTAACTTTGGCAGCCATTTCTTTTCAAATTTTACCTTTAACACCAGGTAACCTATCCCTCCCCCCCCCCAACTCCATATGCCCAAAAATTTGATGAGCACCTGATCCTGCCGTATTGTAACACTGTGACAGATGACAGATAAAAAACGCAAGTGGGAAGTGGTCATTTGTACAGGTGATTGTCTAAGACAGGTTGGTTTACAGCAGGTTCAACTCTCTTTATTTTAATTTATTATTCATGTACTGAGTAGGCTACTGTGTTTATTTTAATTCATTATATGTGGGATACTGTGATGACTAGAGAGATAACCAGAGACTTTTTTCCTCAAGGAGAGTTTTACAGTCTAATTCTTGAGGAGCTACTTCTTTTGAAGTAGACTGGACAATAAAATTTTAATTCATTTTTTTTTCTTTTTGATGCAAGTCTTTCCAAAAATAGAATGTGGTAAATTCGCTCTTTCATAAAGAAAACAATATAATCTAAAGACTCTTTTATTATTATTCTAAATTGAAATGTTTTGTTGACAGTGGTATATGTTTACAGTCAAACAATGTGATTTGTCAGATTGTTTTAACAAATTCGCTGCTTTGGTGTCAATCACTCTTTGATGGAGGCCTGTGGAGATTCTCTGAACAGCACACAACCCAGGTTAGAGCCATAACCGCTCTACGATATGATGTCAGAGGTGCCATCATTTTTAAGACAAGGCGTCACTTTTCAGCCGATTCTGTTACCTTTACTTAGCGTGACTCAGCAGCCCGCCAGAGCTCCCCGGCTCAGGGAAACGGGGTTAATGAACCCTGAAGTGACTTTGTCGATGTCGGTTAAGAAGTTCGCATTTTTGTCTACGTTTGAAACAATATTTACTTCTTCCCCATTCCACACAGCAAACCAT